GTCGGTCTGTTTCTACCAGTTACACCCGCACGCGTCCCACCCTGTTCCCCTAGCACCCCTCTTCTTGGTGCCAGTCCCCCCCCCGGTTGACCCCCTTCCTCCACAGGGTCCTGCTCCCTCGGGTGTGTCTCAGGTCGACCCACCTTCCTTGGATGAGCCAGTGGAGATCTCTTCTGACTCCTCTAGCCCAGCTGAGGGGGGTGACCCAGTTGCGGACGACACGGCGGCCACTCGCCGCTCTCCACGCTTGGAGACCCCCCCGGGTTTTCCGCCTCGACCGTCTTCGCCCCCTCCGCAGCCTGATGCTGTGGACTCTGGAGCTGAGACTACACGTGCTGAGACAAAGGGTGAGGGTTCTGGAGGTGCTGTGCCTGGGGCTGCTGGTTCTGGGGGTGCTGCGACTGGGGGTGCTGACTCTGGGGTTGCTGCGAGTCCTAGTGGCGGTGGAGTTGTGGGTGACCCTGTTGGAGGTCCTGGAGCTGGAGGTACTCGAGGTGCTTCTGGTGCTGGAGGTGCTAGAGCTACCACTACTGGAGGTGCTACAGCTGGACAGCCACCGCAGCCAACTCTACTTGAGACACTCTCGCTGCAGGCGATTCGTGCATGGGTCGTTCGGCGAGGCAGTCCTGGTGGTGGAGGGTACAGTCCTGCTGGTGCTGGAGCTACTAGTCCTAGAGGTGCTGCTGGTGCTGGAGCTACTAGTCCTAAAGGTGCTGGAGGTACTGGAGGTACTTCTGGAGGTACTAGAGGTGCTTCTGGTGCTAGAGGTACTGGAGCTGCTAGTTCTGGAGGTACTGCTGGAGGTACTGGAGCTGCTGCTGGTGCTGGAGGTACTAGAGCTGCTAGTCCTGGAGGTGCTGCTGGTGCTGGAGGTACTGGAGCTGCTGGCACTGGGGGTGCTGATGCTACTGGTGCTGGAGCTGCGGGTACTGGAGGTGCTGGAGCTCCGGGTCCTGGAGGTACTCGTACCAGAGGTGCTGGAGCTGCCGGAGCAGGTGGTACTACTGGTGCTGGAGGTGCTGGAGGTGCTACTAGAGCTGCTGGCACTGGAAGTGCTTGTACTAGAGGTGCTGGAGCTGCCGGAGCACGTGGTACTGCTGGTGCTGGAGGTACTGGAGGTGCTACTGGAGCTGCTGGCACTGGAGGTGCTAGAGGTACTGCTGGTGCTGGAGGCGTTGGAGCTGGAGCTGGAGGTACTGGAGGTGCTGGAGCTGCGGGTCCTGGAGGTACTCGTACCAGAGGTGCTGGAGCTGTCAGAGCAGGTGGTACTACTGGTGCTGGAGGTGCTGGAGGTGCTACTAGAGCTACTGGCACTGGAGGTGCTGAAGGTACTGCTGGTGCTAGAGGTGCTAGAGGTGCTGGAGCTGCCGGAGCTAGTGGTGCTGGAGGTGCTGGAGGTGCTGGTGCTCTTGGTGCTGGAAGTGCTGCTGGGAGTGAAGGTGGAGCTGCTCGTGCTGGAGGTATGGGAGCTGCTAGTGCTCTTCGCTACCTTCTCAGTCTTCCGCCTGGTGCTACTGACTTCCCTGTGGCAGGTACTACTCCCCTGTTACTGTTTCCACCAGCCGACCACTCCCAGCCGCCGTTGCTACCGCACTCCCCACTGCCTGCTCCTACTCCTTACACTGCGGTGACAGTCCCTGTCTGAGCGTCGAGAGCCTGAGACTCGTGCTTCCACCCCTGAGCGTCGAGAGTCTGAGTCTAGCTTTGGCCTTGAGCCCGATCCTAGAGCCGCTGTCCGTACTCGTGTTCCTCGTGTTCGTCGTCAGCGTGCTCCGGCTGTCCCAGGCACTCATGATATGACACTCCGTCCTTCCTCTGTTCCACAGCGTGTTGTCCTGCCGTTACCTCCAGCGTTCTCTCTTCCTGGCGTTGTTGACCCTGTGTCTGACCTTGCTCGTACGTCCAGTCCGATCGTTACTCGTTTTCTTGCTACGGTGATGACTGACCCTTCGTTCTCGTCTCCTGTTGCGTCTGCCTTAGTCGCTGAGCTCGTTGACTTTGCTGCTGTGTACCGCCTAGACTACCTTGCGAGCCTTGTTTCTGACCCTGTCCCTGCCTGTCCTCCGTCCGTCGGGGGTGAGACTGCCGTTGGCTGTACTGCCCTTGGCTGTGACATTCTTGAGGACAGGCAGGAGGAGCTGGAGTGCCTTGCGGCCGCTGCACCCCATCTTGCGACCATGCTGCTTGCCCCTGAGGGAGACCCGGATGCACTTGACATCCCCACCCCGCGCTCTTACAGAGAGGCGATTTCGGGTGAGTACTCCTCTCAGTGGCAGACAGGCATGGACGCAGAGATGGCTTCCTGGAAGTCCACAGGCACCTACGTCGACGAGGTTCCCCCACCTGGGGCGAACATCGTAAGTGGCATGTGGATTTTCAGGGTGAAGCGGCCGCCGGGTTCTCCGCCTGCCTTCAAGGCACGTTACGTTGCTCGAGGCTTGAGTCAGCGTGAGGGGGTCGACTTCTTCCAGACCTTCTCCCCCACCCCGAGGATTACCACTCTTCAGGTGTTGCTACACGTTGCAGCTCAGCGTGACTACGAGCTGCACTCCCTCGACTTCTCGACAGCTTTCTTGCAGGGTAGCCTTCACGAAGTCATCTGGTTGCGCCGTACACAGGGCTTCACTGGGTCGTTTCCTGAGGGTACCCAGTGGAGCCTACGGCGACCAGTGTACGGCCTGCGTCAGGCGCCCCGCGAGTGGCACGACACACTGAGGACGACACGTGCGGCTCTTAGGTTTGCTCCTTCGACTGCTGACCCGTCGCTGTTTCTATGCACCGACACTACTCTGCCGCCGTTCTACACCCTCGTGTACGTCGACGACTTGGTTTTTGCTACTGCTGACACTGAGGCACTGGCCCTAGTGAAGGCAGAGCTGCAGGAGAGACACACCTGTACTGACCTGGGTGAGCTGCGGAGCTATCTTGGCTTGTAGATCACCCGGGACAGAGCAGGGCGCACCATCATCCTGACTGAGTCACACATGGTGCACCAGGTCCTTCAGCGCTTCGGCTTCTCGTGGTCCTCGACATAGCCCGCTCCTCTGTCTACCGGCCACTCGCTCTCGGCTCCACCTTCGGACGAGTCCGTAGAGCCGAGTGGTCCGTACCCAGAGCTTGAGGGTTGCCTCATGTACCTGATGACGTGCACATGACCTGACCTCGTGTACCCTCTCAGCCTTTTGGCTCGCTACGTGGCACCCGGTAGACACCGAAAGGTGCACTTTGATGCTGCGAAGAGGGTACTGCGTTACTTGTGTAGTACATCGGGCATGGGGCTTGTGCTTGGAGGACAGGGTACAGTGGTACACACAGGACACTCTGACGCTTCTTGGGCCGACGACCAGGCGAGTCTGCGTTCGTCATAGGGTTACACCTTCAGACTTGGCTCTGGTTCTGTCTCGTGGAGGTCCACTCGTTCTTCTTCTATGCTTGGCTCTAGCTGCGAGGCCGAGATCTACGCTGGGGCCATGGCTGCACAGGAGCTACGCTGGCTGACCTACCTGCTGACCGACTTGGGGGAGCGGCCTCATTCTCCTCCAGTTCTGTACGTCGACAATAAGGAAATGCTTGCATTGTGTCGCGAGCACAGAACGAAGCACATTGCTTTTCGCTACTTTCTTGCGCGTGAGCTGCAGCAGCGTGGTCATCTGCGCCTTGCTTACGTGGCCTCTCGAGCCAACACTGCTGATGTCTTCACCAAGGCCCTTGGGTCTGGTGATCATCAGCGTTTCTGCACTGCTCTTGGGCTTGTGCCCACTCTGCCTCACTTGCTGGTTGCTTGACTTGCTCTTGTTGTACACTGATATATATCTTTATACCTGCATGTTCCTCTTGCTAGGTTGTGATCAATGTACTGCGTTGCTATTATACCTCTGCATGCGAACTGGCCTTGTGGCCGCTTGCTTGTGCTCAGATTGTGTGATGTCCTTGAGATCCACCCTGAGCTTTGCTTTGTTCTCTTGCTTGACTGGTCTTGTGACCATTTGCTTGTCTTTGTCATTCTGATCCCTCTCACTTAGGCTATGGGGGTGTGTCAAAGTTATATCATAGTTCTTACTTAGCCTATAGTGAGATGCATCTTAGGGGGTACAACTTTTCTCTCGTCTTTCTACTTGTACCCCCCTTTGACCTAGTCGACACCATCCCTCCCCTCTTACTCAAACAACCTGCACCCAACCTCATTTCCCGAGGTTCCTTCCTAGCTAGGGTAGTCATTATATAGTTGCGTGCCTTCATTGTATTGGCAGTTCATTAAGTCACATCTTCGTTATTCGTTATCCTGCGCACTCCCATTTACAACTCATAACAGGTGTCCTCCCAGGAGGGAAGGACAGGCGAAATGTTCGATGAGTTTGGTTGCGTGCGTGCTTCGCGTCCGTCGTGTCAGCAGACATTTGGATGTGCCACGACAGCACTCTCTGACCTCATCCGTGTTCCTTTCTACTACCCTCCCTGTTGCCTTTGATCCGTGATCTCGCTGGACTCTTCTTGGTTGTAACAAGGCTGGTATAGCACTTCGCTTCTCCGTCAGATGTTCTCTGTACAGAGGGCGTTTTCCGGAAACGCGGGAAAGGCTGTTCCATTCTGACAGTCGCGAAGCATCTCCTCGCACCGTTACCAATCAGTTCATACCTTGACACACCGTCACCGACAGATGCTTAAACCGTGGAACTCTTTTCGAGAAAAAAGATCGACTCCAGTATCAAACGAAAGATGTGTGTGAACACGCCCGGAGTGTGACTATCCCAATCTAGTTTCAACTGGCCAGTACTGCGGTTCCCGGCGGTTTTTAAAACGGTAAGAAGGATTTTGACACGGTGCAATATTGTAGTATTTTGAATGTTACCTCCCACCCTCTCATCTCATCCTCCACCCTCTTCCAACTCTCCTTTTCCTTCCCTCACCACGACCACTAAAACCTCCAAGAAGCCCCACCAGCCTCCCCCTTCGGCAGAGTTAGGCAAAGACGAGGTTGATTTGAAAGCTTTTCCGAAGCCATGGCTGCTGCTACCACATCCGCCTCGTTTGCCACCTTCAGCGGCCTTCGTGCCGAAAATGTGCGTAGCTTTCGTTCCTCGATGTTTTGCTCCACGCGCCTTCCCGTCGTAGCGACTCTTTTGACTTCCCCCTCCCATTGTTGGGTCAAGGCCATGCGCCGTTGCTGCTTTCAGTCCGGCACGCCTCTGCATTGCGTCGAAGCGCCTCCGCAAGCCCTATATGACGTGTCCTTGCTGCAGCCTTTTGCGCCGATTGTACTCTTAACCACCTCCTTTCGACTACGTCGACATCCCCCTCTTTATGGACTCGCTTTTTTTCTAGGCATTGCATTCACCCCTTATCTGCACGTGACCAAAGCCCTATCCGTCGTATCGCCTAGTCGCCGAGTGATTACGACAGCAATGGCTCCGCAACAGCGATGCAGCAGTCGTCGGTCGGTTCTCTTCTCTTCACGCGACAGCCGCGTGCCTCAGAAGCGCACCTTGATTGGTTTCTTCCCCCGCTTTTCTCTCGGAGTGGCACGTCAGCCGCAAACCTGCCGTTCCTCCCACCATCTCATCCCCCCTGCTTCGGGACGCTCGTCGAGCTAATGCGGCAACCCCTACCGTCACGCTCTGTCATGATTTTCAGCCTCCTTAAAAAACAATTGATTGCTCTTTCCGCCCTCCTCCCCTCCCCTCCCCCTGGCAGGTGTCCGCACGCCCCGCCGCAGTGACACTCCCCGCAGCCGCGTCGCCAGCGCTACCGGCTGTGGTGGCCACGAAGAAAGTGGTGAAGCGGAAGCAGGTGAGGGGGGAGGTTTAGAGAGGAGAAAAAGGGGATTATGACGCGGAAGAACGTGCGTGGTGGGAAAATGGAGCAGTTAGATCGGAGGGCATAAATGATGTTGCCTGGATGAATGAGGAAAGGGGGAGACGGGGAAGAGAATCAAGCGCGGAGGAGGGTGAGTGGTAATGAGCGAGAGAGACATAGGCAGGATAACGGGAAAAGGACACGGGATAGGAAAGAAGAAGCGGAAAGAGATGAGGGGAGGGAGGAAGGGGGAAATAAAGGGTCGAAGGGAGAAGGAGCGGGAGAGAGGGGGGGGAGAGGGGTGGGTAAGGGGGGTACGAGGGGGAGGCGGGGAGGAGAGAGGTTGAAGGGCAGTGTGCTGGTGTGAGAAACAGCTCGTTGGTCGACGTCGCTGCATCTGACACCCGTGCTTCCATTTTGTCGCTCCCCCGTTCTCCCGCATTGCAGATCATTTTGACGAAGAGCGTGCCGAACGTGGGCAAGGCGGGCGAGCTGCTGTCGGTGCGGCTGGGCTTCTTCCGCAACTTCCTCTTCCCGCAGGGCTTCGCCAAGACCGCCACGCCGCAGATCCTCAAGTGCGTCGCCGCTGCGCGCAGGAACCGCTGCTGTGGCTCGAGATTGTGATGCCACTCAACAGTCGCCCGCGCTTCCGCTGCTCCTGCGCACGGTTGTGACGCCGCACTTGCGCGCCGTGCTTTGCTGTGTAGTGTTGTGTGCCGCACTTACGGCCGTGCGCGTCCGTGCATGCGTGCGACGGGCGAAGGATGCTGTTTCATTCCGTTCCCTTGTGACCCGTCTTTTTCTTGTCGGTGCTGCGTGTGGAGTTGTGGACCGCAGGGAGATAGAGGCGGAGCAGGCGCGGATTGAAGCTGAGAAGCAAAAGGTGAACTCCCTTGCTCTCGCCCGCTACCCTCACGATTTTCTCGTTCAAATTTCTCAGTATGATCGTCATCTTGCGCTTAATACTCCGCCTTTCGCCCCTCTCCTCCCCGCCCTCCCTCCCTCTCCCCCTCCCTCCCTCCCTCCTTCCCTCCCTCCCTCCCTCCTTCCCTCCCTCTCCCCCTCCCTCCCTCCCTCCTTCCCTCCCTCTCCCCCTCCCTCCCTCCCTCCTTCCCACCCTCTCGCTCAAGACACTCGCACTCGCTCACAGCGCACATCCACATGTTCACTCAACCCCCCGTGCAAGCCCGACCATGCGTCTCTGCGTCTCCCCCTCTGCGCCTCTTCCCACCCACTCTCCCCCTCTGCCCCTCTGCCTCGCCGCCTCCCCTATCCTGCCCCGGCAGGTGTTGGAGGAGGCGCGCAAGGTGGCGCGGCAGCTGCAGACGGTGGGCGGGCTCACGGTGAGGCGCAAGGCGGGCACCGGCAAGTCCTTCTTCGGCTCGTACGTGCTGCCTCCTCTCCTGGGGCCCACCACTGGTGGCTGCGGACATGGAGGGGGAGAGGGACGAGGAGGAAGGGAGGAGAGTGTAGAGGAGGGAGGGGTGGGAATGGTGGTGGAAGGTGGGGTGAGGGAGAGGGAAGACGAAAGGATGAGATTGTGACTGGGAGGGCATTGAAGAGACGGTACTGAGTAGTGTGTGCGGAGTGATGCGCGCAGCGAGCATGTGCGTGTGGCAGTGGTGCCAGGAGCCTTGCTTTCGAGGGGAGCCAGCATGTGGGTAGAGATGGGACAGTCGTGCCTTATGCCATGGTGTTTCCTAACTGCGCACCCACCCACCTACCCACACCAACATGCACAGTCACGCACTGATATGAGTTCTTGGTTGCTCATTTTTCTTATGCCGCCGATGCCCCTGTAACCTCCTACCCCAACCCCCCCCCCACCCCCCTCCCCCCCCTCCTCCCCCCCCCTCCCCGTGCATGCATGGCAGTGTGAGTGTGAATGACATTGTGGACATCATCAAGGCCAACATCAACAGGTCAGCACCAGCCCTTCCCCCCACAACCCCCCCAGCCTCCCCCCCCCCCACCACCACCACGCCTCGTGCTGTTGTGTCGGAACGATACTCGACCAAGATGGTTGCGGCCTCACTGCTCCAGTATCGAAAGGTCTACTGCCTGCGTTCAATCGTGCATGGCGTTCCACTCATCTTGCTCCGGCCGGCGTGTGTGCTATGGTATTACCTCCTGTATCTGTGTGTGCTCGGAATGGCCTGAGTGGGTCCTGGCAAGTGTGCATGTGTGTATGTGTGCATGTATATGTGTGCATGTGTGTGTGCATGTATGTGTGCATGTGTGTGTGCATGGTGGTACCCCCACAGGGAGATCCCCAAGGCGGACATAGAGCTGCCGGAGATCAAGGAGGTGGGGCAGTACACGGCCACCATCCGCCTGCACCCAGAGGTCACTGCCGACGTGCGCATCAACGTCGTCGGCAAGTAGACTCTCCATGCTGCGCCTCACAGCTCGCTGCTTCCACTCCAGGTCAACTGGTGTGGAGTGGAGGAAGAAGATCACGTGTGCAGGATATATTGGGAACGGAGCACATGGTTGGGATGATGGTGAGGGTTTAAGAGAAGGGAAACGCACAGAAGGGCTGAGGCTGCAATTATGGTGTATTTTTTGTCAGTAAGAGGGTGTCGATGAAGTATTGTTTGTATGCTTCAACATCTCTATATCGGTGCACACTTTCGTAGGTTTACGCGGTACACTAGAAGCACATGTCCCAGTTTGCCAGCTGCTCTTCTACTGAGCATGTTACCTGCTTCTCAGAGACCATCTTGTGTCCCATCAATGTCTAAAACATCCCTGCTTCCACCATCCAACGGGCTTTTCTCAAACAGATTGAGAAAGCTTGCTTTCTTATTCTATATCAATTGGCATCGTTCTCATTACAAATGGCTTATTACAACATTTGCATCAACGTTGAACACAAGCTAGTGCAGTCTAATAACACTAGCTAAGATGTACCCAATCCAAGTGGCATTAGCAAGGCGGTTTACTCTGGGGTGGGTGATGGGAATGTTGAGTGGGCCGTTTGAAAATCGAGAAACGTGGGTGGAGGGAAATGAACTCCAACCCACGGTTTTTGTAGTTGGAGAAGGGCGTTTAGCGCGCTTCGACGATGCCAATTGTGCAGTACAAGCAGCTTCGCTTTCACAATACACAATTTAAAAAAACACAATGTGTGTTTAAAAATTATATTTTTCTGTACGCTTCCACCATCCAACGAGCCAGGACTGATGATTTAGAGAAACCTAGCGAATGCTTGTTGATTGGACACACCAACATTTCGCTGTACGTGGAAAGCAGTCTCTTGCTTGGAGAGCGTACCAATTTACTAACAAATGTGCAATCCAAATGTCCAATTCATCATTTCACACCGGTTCTGTCTTCTAACATATTCTGAACTTCACAATACGCAGCATAAGTTCTAAGCATCATTTTTACCCGTTGCAGCTGCTGCGATCCCACCTTTCCTGTACCTCGAGCTTCAACCATCACCTCTTCGAGGTCTTGCTTGCGCCCCAAGAAATCATCCAGCAATAGCTTTGCCCGAGACTGGAGTTTTCCCATTTCCCAAGACTCCAGCTTCATTTCCTGAGACTCCCCCATCTCCCCTGTTTCGAGCCCAGGAGAGTCCTTGGTTCCATCCTTGTCTACTATACACCTCTCCTCCCTTTCTTCAGAATATCCATGAGCATCCTCTGCCTCGCCATCCTCTGCCTCTCCATCCTCTGCCTCGCCATCCTCTGCCTCTACCTCCCCTCCCTCAACTCCCATCCCTGCTTCACCACGTCTTGCTGCCTTGTCCACTTCACCTGCATCCTTCCGTGCTGTCTCCCTTTCTCTCTCCCCCGTTCTCTCCACTTCTCTCGCTCCTCCTCTCGCCCCTCCTGTCTCCTGCCTCGCATCATCTGCATCCTCGTCGGTCCCGACGAATGGGTGCACCAAGATCCGTGTGGCCATATCACGGGCCTCACCTATGCTACGCCTTCCCCCCACCCTCTGCTGCTGCTGCTCCTGCTGCAGTTGTCGTTGCTGCTGTTCATTCTGGTGATATTGCCGCCACTGCTGCTGGTGCTGCTGCTGCCGTTCCATTCCTCCTCCCCGTCCCACCACCCCTCCTCCCCCTTTCTCCCCTGCCCCTCGTCCCTTCTCTCTGCGCCTATGCGCCTGCCACAGAGCACAGGCACTGATGGCCTTCACCAGCTGAAGCTTCTTGGCTTTAGCGGGCACAGAGCACCCCAGCAGCAGCGCCACCACCCTCACCACGTCCCGCTTCTCCTGCTGCACGTCCTCCTCTGCCCCTGCGCACCGCGCAAAGAACAGCTCCTGATAACCCTGCTTATAACGGGGATGGGAAAAGTCAGAGTGATTAGGATAAGTGAAACTGAAATCCTTCCTTCAATGCGCGCCACGCAAACACCAGCTCCTGATGGTTCTGTCGACAAATACAAGTGGGAATCAGAAATTAATACTGACAACCCTGCTCGTAAGGTGGATAAGCAAAGAGGACAAGAAATGAAAGAACCCACACCAAAGCCTCACCTCGACTTTAATCGTGCCTTACCTTGCATTATATGCAATCAGTGCACCTCTACCCATGTTGCATCGTAACCATTGCCTCCCCTTGAACAAGGCGTAACGTGGAATTGAGGGCATCAGGGTTGGCTCGGATGAGCCACCACCACACTCCTCCACCTCGCCTGCCAGCAACTTGCACTCCTCCGTGTAACCGCACTCCCTCCAACCTCCCTCCAAAGAGTCCTTGCGCTGTCTTACCTTACTCCGCCCACTCCACCTATGCTTCCCCTGCGCCCATGCTTCCCCTGCGCGTGCACCCACGCTCCACCCATGCTGTCCGTCCAGCAAGCCCTCACCGTGAGGGCATTAGGGTTGGTGCGGATGAGCGAGCGAATGTACGCCTCCAGCTTTGCAGCCAGCAGCTCCCGCTCCTCCGTGTGCTCCCACCGCATCCTCCTTTCCAGGAACTCCGTGAGCAGCACATCCGCTGGCCTGTTGAGCCGTGCAATGCGCTCGTCGCCTATGTCTGACAGCCCCACCTCCTGTGGCAGCAGCACCCCCCCCAACTGCCCTTCTCTCGAGCTTGCGGGGGGTGGGGAAGGAGCAGGACCTGTCCCCAGCTGCCCTCCTGGAGGGGTTGGGGAGGGAGCGGATACTGAAGGAGGGCCGTTTAACTGTGTGGGCTGGTTCGACCGTGCAATCTGCTCGTCTCCTATCTTGCCAGTGTCGCCCACACCTGACAGCCCCCCCTGCTGCGGCCGCAGCAGCAGCCCTGGAGATGGTGTTAGTGAGGGAGGTTTGGGAGATGCTGTGCGGTTCTGCGTGGTAGGACAAGGTTCTGTGGGTGCTGGACGTGTTAGTGATGACACTGTAGCTGACCCAAGCACCGTTTGTGCTGCTGTTGCTGCTACCACAGGTGCTGCTGCTGCTGCTACTAGCGGTGCTGCTGCTGCTGCCACTCCTGCTGCTTCACCAATGGATACTCCCCCCTCTCTAACATACACACCAGGTATGATACTCCCCCCTCTGGTGGAAATCTCTTCTCGCACTCTCCCCCGTGAATCTGAGTCCCCCCTCATGCCCCCCCTCCCCTCGCCTCTCACTCGCTCCCATGCGTCGGCGCGCACAATGACCTCGGCGAGCTCGTCTTTCCGCAGGGACGTGACCTCGGGCGCGCCCAGCAGCAGCGCGAACAGCTGCAGCGCGCCCTTCTTCTCCCCCTGCAGGTCCTCCAGCGTGGGCTCATGCACCAACAGCACGTCCTGCAACGGCTGGCGGATTGAGAGCGCATTGGGCGACGGGAAAGTGGGGAGGGAGGGAGTGGGGGGAAGTGGGGAAGAGAAGGTTTAGGATGAGAAGAGAAGGTACTCAAGAGTGCGCCCATGTGACAACAGCACACCCTGTAACGGCTGGTTGTGTGCGGGGTCGGAGAGAGAGGCAGAGAAAGAAAAGGGGGGAGAGGGGAGGTGGTAGACAGGGGGGGTGGGAGAGAGAGACGGAGGGCAAGAGAAGGTCAGGGGGCAGGAAGAGGGGCGGAGGACAGAGAGGTGGAATTTTGCATGTCTGTACCCCCTGCTGAATTAATACAAAGGACCATTTGAGAGAGGGGAAGCGAAGGCGGTGCTACTGCGTACCTGCACTGCGTGTAGCCCCATCTTCCAGAGGTGTTTCACATGCGCCTTGAGCGATGCCAGCAGTGGGCTGCGGTCCTCCAGCAGATGCCACAGCCGCCTCTCCCTCAAACACTCCCTCAACCTCCCCTCCACCTCCTCCCTGCTCTCCCCACCTCTCCTCCGCTTTGCATCCTCGTACCCATCCCTCCTCTCCTCGCCTTTTCCCATGCGCGCCACCTCCAAAGAACCACCTTTCTTCTCCATCCCCTGGTGATGCAATGCTTTTTGAGGCACCTCAGAAAAACTATTCTCAACCGCCCCCAACGAGCCATCCTTCTTCTCCCTTCCCTGGCCCTCCCTGCCTTCTCTCGTTTGATTTTCCTCTGCAGCTGGTTTGCTTCCCTCAGTCCTTCCTCGCTTCAACCCTCTCCCTCGCACTCCCTCCTTTCTTTGTGACATTTCTCCTCCTCCTCCTCTGCCTCCTCCACCTCCTACTCCTCCTCCTCCTCCTCCTCCTCCTCCTCCTCCTCCTCCTCCTCCTCCTCCTCCTCCTCCTCCTCCTCCTCCTCCTCCTCCTCCTCCTCCTCCTCCTCCTCCTCTTGCTGTTGTTGCGTGCACTGGAGTGACTGCTGCTAATGGCACACCTGGCACTGGGAATGCTGCTGCTGCTGCTGCTGCTGCTGCTGCTGGTGATGATGCTGCTGCTGGTAACGCTGCTGCTGCTGCTGCTGCTGCTGCTGCTGCTGCTGCTGCTGCTACTGGTGTTGTTTGTACTGCCGCGAATGCTGGTGCCGGTAGTGCTGGTGTTGGTGGTGCTGGTGCCGCTCCTGGTGTAAGTGTTGGTGCTAGTGTAATTGCTGTTGCTGCTGATGCTAGTGCTGGTGCTGTTGCTACTGCTGCTGCTGTTGCTGCAAGTGCCGGGGCTGTTGCTGCTGGTACTAGTGCTGCTGCTGATGGCGCTGCTGCTGCTAGTGGTGGTGCTGGTGGTACTGCTGGTGCCAATGCAACAGCGGCTGGCATTGGCACCGACTGTAACTGGAATTTATTTCCTATTTCTCTAATGCCTACTGCTGTCACTGCAGCTGCCACTTCTGCTGTCGAAGGATATTGCACGAAAGTAGCATGAGAAGGAGCAGCAGCGATAGCAGAAGCAGGAGCAGCAGCAGGAGCAGCAGGAGTAGGAGCAGGAGCAGCAGGAACAGGAGCAGGAGCACCAGGAGCAGAAGGAACAGCAGCAGGAGCAGCAGCAGGAGCAGCAGCAGGAGCAGCAGCAAGAGCAGTGGCAGGAGCAGCAGGGCCAGCAGCAGGAGCAGCAGGAGCAGCAGGAGCAGCAGCAGGAGCAGCAGCAGGAGCGACAGCACCTGTAGCAGCAGAAGCAGAGGCAGCACTGACAAGTGCAGGAGACGTAGAAGAATGAGAGGGCAGTGCAAGGTGAAGAGGAGGAGGAAGGGAGTCCACAGCAGCATCAGCTGTAGCGGCAACAGCAGAGGCACCATCAGCATCTGTGACAACGCCTATAGCAGCATCTGTAGCAGCATCTGTAGCAGCATCTGTAGCAGCATCTATAGCAGCATCTGCAGTTTGTGTCAAATCAACAGAGGGAGGGTCAGGAGGAGGATGAAGAGCAAGAGGTTTCATGGAGCTAGCATGAGGATTGGTAGAAGGATGAGAGGGCGGAGATACAAAATCAGCCTCTTTCGTTTCCTCCGCCTGCTGCAGCTCCCGCTCGTTCTGCTGCTCGTTCCCCCTCTGCAACCTTTCCTGCTCTTGCATTGCGTAAATATGCCCCTCCCTCGTCTCCCCTTCCCCCATGCCCACATCCCCCACGCCCTCTGTGCCAACATCGCCCAGCTCCCCTTCCCCCAATCCCCCTTCCCCCAATTCGACTCCCCCCATCCCCCTTTCCCCCGTGCGCGCTCCCCCCATCCGCCTTACCCCATAAACCACAAACTCCGGCGGGGGCCAACCATACCACGGCCCCCATCCCCCCCCAACCCACTCCCCTCCCCTTCCCCGTAACTCCCCCCCTCCGCTCCTAGATCTTCCGCCCACCCCCCTTCCTCTTCCGCCTCCTCTCCCCCGTCCGCTCCCCCCAAGCGGGTGAACCCCCACGTACGCGTGCGGGGAAAGATGAGCATGCGGGGGGGTTGGCGCATGGGCGGGGACTAGGGCATTGGGAAGGATTCTTCCGGGCGCGTGTGGGGGGATTTCCGCGTGCGGGTGAGGCGCGGGCTCGTGCGGGGGGGTTGGCGCGTGGGGGAAAACCAGCGGGGGGTATCCGCCGTAGTCGTACCACCCAGGGGGAGGATAGTGCGGCGGCGGATAGTGATAGTACGGGGAGGGCGCTATATAGGCGTACGGGGGCGGCGGACCCTGCGGAACCGGCGGAGGAACAAGGGGGAATGAATGCGTGGAGCGGAAGGGTTCTCTTGGCGCAGCTTGGGGCGGCGGGGTCTGCGCTGCTTGTTGGGGAGGAAAGGAGGACGGAGACTCCGCCACGTCGTGTTGGGGAGTTTGCGCAGGGGAAGCAGGGAGGGCGGTGGCGGAGGGATCGAGCGAGTCCTGCGATGAAGTCATAACAGAAAGTACAGAATGGTCGGAGGCTGTTTGATGTGTTGTCTGTAGCGGGTAACGAGGTGACTTGACGTCGGGAGTGTGAGTGCTTGGCGAGGGCAATCAAATTTTGAAGGGAAAAGATCAAATTGGGGCCGTGCAGTGCCAGAGAGGTGACCAACCACGGGCCGACAGGCCCGGAAATAAGGGTTATTATACAAACGGTCATAAACATGGGCTCGTTATCACGTATGGTCATAGCACTATCGCGAACGGTCACAGAATCTAGCAAATCTATTACGGATGATCATAGCACTATCACGGATAGTCATTCGTTGCCCCGCATTTCTATCACGAATGGTCACTCGATGAAACCCTCAAGGGAAGTTGAAACTCCTCAAGTCACTATAGAGATCCAGGGAAAGTTTTTTCGCGCGCGCCATTTTGTTCGTAGTATTACGAGACGCTGTTACTTACGAAAATATTTTCGCGACCACTCTCGTTAACTCGTTAAAAATAGGGAAATGATCAAACTGGGGCCGAAGAGTGCCAGAGGGATGACCAAAGTACGGCCAGAAAATATCGACCGTAAGATTTCTACCCCGAGCTGCCCAAGAGGCTAGGCGAACAAGCCGAACCGTGACTGAAAGAGAAATGCTACCAGCACCAAACTTCGTTTCCAACTTATTGAAAAAATGGTTACGACCACCGTCTACTACTACGCGCACATCGCGTTCTTCTGGAAATAAATATTGCTGTGTTAATTTGTGAGTCCAAAAACAAATTCATTATGGGTGATAAATATCACTCCCTGATCGGAAACGCGCAGAAAAAAAAAATATTACCCATTCGGAAATGGATGCGACTAGGGAGGCATCAACCCTAAACACAACGAAGGTTCCCGTTTTTAGGGTTGATCCATCCCGAAAATGCATCAAGGTTCCCCCTGGGGTTTTAGTTTTTTTGGCTGCCCTAAGAGTTTCTGGCTTGCTATACAACGCTATTGGGGGGAAGGTGATGAATCAGTAAATATTTCCATGAAAAATTACGCGCGAGCTGAAATGCAAACTGTTAACGGACATACGTTCAATAAATGATAACCCTCTGCAAATACCTTTTTGCGCAGTGGTTTGGTTAGTTCCGGGCCTCTCGGCCCTTGTTCGATCACCTCCCTGCCACTGTTCGGCCCCTGTATGATCTTTTCCCTTAAAAAATATCTGTAATTTCTCGACAACATCGGAAGATTAGCTCGTGTCGCAGTGTTCACTGTTCGATTGTCCACTGTTCGATTAATGCATAATGTCCAAAAGAATATCACTTTCAGACGGGTGAAACTCGAAGGCTTTTTTCTATTCCCAAGAAAAAAACGGAAACCCATTCGGATGGGATATCCTTCGTGAGACATCACCCCTAAAAACCTTGTCGCATGGTGTTTAGGGTTGATGCCTTCCGAAAGGCATGCCATCCTATAAGGGTTTTGTCAGATTTATATGACATAGCTACTGTAGGCTAGAGTGGGGTAGCACATATGGGGTACAGTTTTCTAGGGTTTGCTTCTTGTACCCAACTTTCACTTAGTCATTCTCATTCCTGTTTTTCTTGATTCACATGGTATAGAGCGGGTTCCTACATGGGACCGTTCCTTCCTAAGGGCCCACCATAAGATTTTTTTTTTTAGCTGCCCGCGCACATTGCGCCCTGCCCTAAAATTTTTTTTTTTAGCGGCCCCTACGCTGCCTCTACACGGCCCCTACGCCGCCTCCCACGCGCCCCCTATGCGGCCCCTGGCGGCGCCCTGACGAGGCCCCTGCCGGCGCCCTATCGCGGCCCCTGACGCGCCCCCCTGGTGGCGCCCTGACGCGGCCCCTGGCGGCGCCTGACGCGGCCCTGACGCGGCCTGACGCGGCCCCTGGCGGCGCCCTGACGCAGCCCCTGCCGCGGCCCTAACGCGGCCCTGCCGCGGCCCCTGACGCGGCCCTGACGCGGCCTGCCGCGGCCCCTGCCGCGGCCCTGAAGCGGCACCTGACGCGGCCCTGACGCGGCCCTGACGCGGCCCTGCCGCGGCCCCTGGCGGCGCCCTGACGCGGCCCCTGACGCGGCGCCCTGACGCGGCCCCTGCCGCGGCCCTGACGCGGCCCTGCCGCGGCCCCTGACGCGGTCCTGACGCGGCCTGCTGCGGCCCCTGCCGCGGCCCTGAAGCGGCCCCTGACGCGGCCCTGAAGCGGCTCTGCCGCGGCCCTGACGCGGCCCTGACGCGGCCCCTGACGCGGCCCCTGCCGCGGCCCCTTACGCGGCCCTGACGCGGTCCTGCCGCGGCCCCTGGCGGCGCCCTGACGCGGCCCCTGACGCGGCGCCCTGACGCGACCCTGCCGCGGCCCCTGACGCGGCCCCTGCCGCGGCCCCTGACGCGGCCCCTGACGCGGCCCCTGTCGCGGCCCCTGACGCGGCCCCGCCTCCTCTCAGCGGCTCCGCCGCCTCCTCTCAGCGGCCCCGCCGCCTCCTCCCAGCGGCCCCGGACGCCGCCCTCTCAGCGGCCCCGCCGAGCCGCCCAGCAGCCGAGCCGCCGAGCCGCCCAGCAGCCGAGCCGCCCAGCAGCAGAGCCGCCGAGCCGCCCAGCAGCCGAGTCGCTGAGCCGCCCAGCAGCCGAGCCGCCGAGCCGCCCAGCAGCCGAGCCGCCCAGCAGCCGAGTCGCCGAGCCGCCCTGCAGCCGAGCCGCCCGAGCCGCCCTGTCCGGTAAGAGCAGCGCCTCTCTCACAGCACTGCCCTCACCCCACTGTTTGCACTGCTAGTCTACTACTGTCATGGCTACCCCTAGTGTCCTCGCTTTTGACGCTGAGGGTCGGGCCATTGACTTTGACGTCTGGATAGATGACCTGCAGCTTTTCTTACAGTGCGATAGGGCAGACGGCCTCTCCCTCTTTGACCTCACTTCTGGTGCCTCTCCTGCTCCCGCCACTGATGCTGACGCAACTGTTCGCTCCCAGTGGGCCACGCGCGATGCTGCTGCACGTCTTGCTGTGCGTCGCCACCTGCCTACCTCTGAGCGTGCGCACTTTAGCCAGTACAAGAGTGCTCAGACCTTGTACGACGCTGTAGTTGCACGCTACTCCTCCCCTGCCACTGCTGCACTGAGCCGCCTCATGCTACCGTACCTCTTCCCTGACCTTGCTGCCTTTCCCACAGTCGCTGACCTCATCACGCACCTCCGCACTAGTGACACTCGCTACCGCGCTGCGCTTCCTGCTGAGTTCTGCGCCAAGAACCCCCCCCCCATGTACATCACCCTCTACTACATCGTCACCCGTCTCCCTGACTCCCTTCGCGTAGTCAGGGACCACTTCCTCTCGGTTTGTCCCACCACTCTCACCGTTGACCTCCTCGAGAAGGCCCTCCTAGCAGCAGAAAAGAGCATAGTCGCTGTAGGAGCCTCTCGTGGTGACCCTCGCACCCCCATCTTTGAGGGGTGTTCCCCCTCCCCTCTTTTGCCCTCTGTTGCCTCTGCTGCTGCGGCCGACCTCGCTGGTTTGGAGTCGGTTGGGGCAGCGTCTACCCCTAGCGGGAGACGCCGCCCTGGCAGGGGCAAGGGGGGCAGGGGCGCTGGAGGAGCTAGCGGGGGCGGTGGAGGCGGCGGTGGAGGTGGTGGAGGAGGTGGTGGTGGCGGTGGGAGTGGTGGCGGGGGTGGAGGTGTAGGTGGCGGCAGTGGAGGCGCAGGAGGCAGCGGCGGTGGCGGAGGGAGCGGAGGTGGCGGCGGTGGAGGAGGAGGCGGCGGAGGAGGTGGAGCTGGTCGGGGTGGCGCTGCGCAGAGGGTCAGCTCCGGTGGTGGTCAGCGCCAGCAGCAGCAGCAGCAGCAGCAGCAGCGCACTCGTAACGTCCCCTCCCCTCAGCAGCTCCGTGAGTGGTACACTGCACGCCAGAGGGGTGGGGGTGCTGGTCCGTGCACCTACGTCCTGCGCACCGGCGACCGCGCGGGTGAGCAGTGCGGGGGTGCGCACTCCACCCAGCGCTGCTTTGGCCGCCTCACGGACGCTTGGCGTCACCAGTTTCCTGAGGCCACTGAGATCCCCCGCTGGGGTGAGCTGTCTAGGGCGGGTGTAGCTGTCTTTGACCTTGACTTTGATGCTATTCTTGCTGCCGTGTATACTGTGACTATTAGTGATGAGGGTGACTGTTACCGGTGTTTTCCGCCCGACCCGGGCATTGAGACTGCTGCTCTAGGTACTGGTGAGGCTGCTGCTCTAGGTGCTAGCGAGGCTGCTGCTCTAGGTGCGTCTACTCCCTCAGGTGCTGGTGAGTCTGCTCTCTCAGGTTCTGCGTCGGCTTCGGCCTCCCACACCTTCACACTTGACTCGGGGGCTTCTCGCTCCTTCTTTCGAGACCGCACCACACTCACGCCGCTTGGCCGGCCAGTTGCGGTCTCCCTGGCAGACCCCTCTGGGGGTCCTGTCCTTGCTCACTTCTCCACTGTCCTCCCGTGTCCGGCGGCCCCCTCTGGCACCCTGTCTGGTCTCTACCTCCCCTCGTTCTCTACGAACTTGGTGAGTGGTGCTGACCTACAGGATGCGGGGGTTCAACAGTTCACTCCTGCGAGTCAGCGGGTGACCCACTGCACGGACGCTCGGACAGGCCGCCACCTGGCCACGTTTACACGTCGGCCAGGGTCGAGCCTGTACACACTGACCACTGCGTCTCCTCCAGTCCCTGCGTCTGGTCAGGTAGCTGCGTCGGGTCAGGTGTTTGCTGCAGCGTCCAGGTCTGGTCCTGAGTCTGCCCCCTGCTCGTGTCGCCTCCTGTCTCACGAGACTCTCCTCTGGCACCACCGCCTTGGCCACCCCTCCCTGCTTCGTCTCCGGAGCATGGCCTCCCGTGTCCTTGTCTCTGGTCTTCCCCGGTCCCTCCCTCCCCTTCCTCCGGGGCCAGGCCCTACCTGCGTCCCCTGTGTCGAGGGACGGCAGCGGGCTACCCCTCACTCCTCCCAGTTTCCTCCGACAGAGGCCCCGCTGCAGACGCTTCACATGGACGTGTGG